GATGGGACATGTCAACCCCTATTGCGTCCCACTACAACAGAAAATATCTAGGGATGTTCACAGCAGACGTGATGAGCTTCTGGCAAAGGGAGCTTGGGTTCCCCCAAGACTGTCTTCCAGAGAAGACTCGCTCTTTAATCCTTCAACTGGATCTTGGCAACACCAGTCTCCATCTTCGGTGTAGTCTGCCCCCAGGTTCCCGCCTCCAAAGAGTGGACAGAGCCAGTGCAGAGTGAACTGTTCAGGAACACGGACCTGGCCCAGGCGTTATCCAGACCAGGGTGCTCCAGTGGCTTCCACTACCTATGGATGGAGCCCACAGTTCTCCACAAGGTCTAGCAAAAGCTGCCAGCAAACTCTCTAGCCACGTCTCCTACGGAGCAACTACCTATCCTCCCCCTCACTGGGACCCCACCCCAGAATGTGGCCTCCAGGAAGCCCCTTGGCAGGCAGGCCCCTTCATTTCTTGCTCCAGGGCATGGGTTACCCATCAAGCCTCTCTGCTAGGCTGGGTGCTCCTGGGGGCAGACCAGGACTGACCAGTTCTGGCCCAGAGTCAAGCCCCATGCCCTCACAGAGGGGGCTGATCGCTATCACAAGCCACAGTCCCAACTGCCTCTGGGCCTCCATTCTGCATCTATACAATCCATTCTGCATCTATACAAAGTCTGCCATCGATCAGGGATGGCAAATTTGGAGGTCACATACTACCATCTACATCTGCATGTTCACGGCAGACAACGCCCACCAATATCCGCTGAGCCCACACACGGCTCAAGAATCACTCCCAACAGTGGTCCGGCAGCCAACCAATCAGGGCTGGCATTGGAGCAGAAACACTGCCTGCTTTTGAGAGAAGATGGCTAGAGTTTTCTCTTTCTCCCTCCATCATTTCCCTCCTTTTCTCTTGTTCTCTATTCTCTCTCTAGACAACCAGACATGCATCTGACCACTGAGTTAGAACACTGGGGTCCCGAGCCAGCAAGCCTGGGCCGAGACCCCGATTATGGCCCGTAGCTGCTCACTGAGCAGGTCAGTCAACTCTCCTAGTCTCTCTCCCCCAGTCAGCCATGCCTCCCCTCTGCAGAAGCACGGTGATCAAAATGAAAGTAAGTCCCATGTCTAAAAACACGACATAACTGAAAACAATCACTGGAATTTAAAACAAAACAAGAACAAAAACAGCCTGTACTCAGTGCTCCCTTCTTCATGACCCCTGCCCTCCTGCCATTCCCCAGCTCTAGAGCTAGAAATCCTCATTGAAGGGCACCTCCCTTAGAACTACCTTAGGGCCAAGGAGCTGGGAGGGGGCCCACCCAGACCAGGAGGCCTGGCCAAAACTAAGCAGAGTCTGCCAGATGTACAGCCCAACTGACTTAAGCTGCATGGAAAAAAAAAAATGCCACTGCTTGATTATATAAAATCCATCTGGATCCCAAGCAGAAAATCCAAGTTGGAAAGGCCCTCAGAGACCATCTGGTCCACCCTGCTTCATCTACTAGCGAGGAAACTGGGGTCCAGAGACAGCGAGCAACTTGCCCAAGGTCACTCAGCAAGTGTATAGACAAGCAGGGGACTAGGACAGGTGTCCTCAGGCTCTCATCTTCTGTATCCTTCCCCACTCCAGAACGCGGCCCCTGAGGCCTCCAAGCCTGGACTGAATGAGGATCTAGAGCTTTGGGGCTGGCGGGGCTCTACTCCTGGTAACTGAGGAGCACAAATAAACTCAGTTCAAACACTCCCTGGGTCCCTCGTGCACGCCAGATGCTGGGAATGCCAAGATGAAGGTGTCTTTTTACAAGGAACGCACAGAAGTAGAACGTCCTGGCTAAGTTCTACCATAACCCCAAGAACCCCCAAATACTCCCCAATACTGTGAGGTATGGTCAGACCAGGTGCTGAACCATCTCTCTACCAGCCCTCAACTTGCTATCAGACACATCTCATGCCACGGGACCCCTCAACACTAAGTAAGAAAAAGCCAACGGATGGAACCTAAGGCGTGGATGGCCAAACATTCCGACCCCAGGAGTAGCCTCGCAGCCTGGCAGTCTAAGGAGGTAAGTCCCCTATGTTCCTTTCTGTGGGGCTGGAGTTGGGGGGGATGGGTAGACAGCTGCTGTCTACCCACCCACCCACCTGGGAGGCCCCAGTGGCTTCGAAATTTGGCACCAACTGGGGGTGGAGTCCCGATGTGAAAACTGGGCCGGCCACCGGGGGGACAGGATCTGGTCGCAGCTGAGTCAGCCAACCCAGGCCAGCTATCCTGGTGCAAAGACCCCCCCCCCCCCCCCAGCCGCAGAGCTGCCCGCCCAGACTGCAGCCAAGCAGGGGAAGAAGTGCAATTGTTGGCAGCCGATTAAACCCGATATCATCTCTATTTCCCTTCGAATAGCAAAGCAGCGGTGGGAGAGCAGAGGCAGGGGCAGTGTCCGTAATCGATAGCTGATATTCTAGTCGTGAGCTGGTCTACTCCGGAAGATATTCTAGTCGTGAGCTGGCCTACTCCGGAAATGGGCAGTCACTACCTCCTTCCGGAGAGATACCCTTTCCCCTCAGCACCGACCCGACCTGGCCCGAGGGGGTCAGCATCACAGCCAGGAAGCACCTCCTCTGCCTTTGTATTCACCTGACTGACTAGAAAACAATGTCCTCACCTGAGGAGGGTATGGCGGGGACAAAGCCAAAATCACCCAGGAGTAGAGAGTCTGGGGCACACAGGTCCCTGGCTCCATGTCCACCCTCCACCCCCGCCCCAACTCTTGGTGCATTCATCCTGACTGGGGTTCAGAGAAGACCTCCACTCAAGAGGATCCAAAAGTTACCTCTGTTTGATGGTGGCTGGAAGTGGCCAAATAAGGACAGGATTCAGTCTGGGCTTTCTGACCACACACCCCTGAACGTCATAGAGGAGGGCCCGAGAAGTATGTCTGGAATTAGGCCTTAACCATGGACAATTCTACCAAAGCAGGAAGTTATGAGCTGCCCACATTATCAGGCAGACCTTGCCTAGCCCCAGACTCAGGCCAAAATAGAAGTCAACGGCCTTTTTAACAAATGCAGCTGGCTGCTGTCCACCTCTTCCCGCCACAGCAGCCTGCACTGGGCACTCAGACGCCAGCGAGCAGCCTCAACAGGCACGCAGGTGGAGACTGGTACCCGGGGCTCTGTCCACCAGGCAGGAAAGCCAGAACGGCACTGTGTCCAGGGTGCACCCGTGGCCTCATGTGGGAGGATGTGTGAGCCTGGGAAAGAAGGCCCTAGCAGGTAACACCTGGGGGAAAGACCAACCAGGTACAGGACACCCACCTGCAGTGGCCAGGAAGATGGCTGTCCCTAGGCATGGAGGCCCGTCTCAGACAGCAGCCCCTGGGCTTCCCCTCTGGGGAAAGGGCAGAAGCCTGTCTGCCTCCTTTCTTTCTTGGGTCCGTTATGAATGTCCCATTCTCTTCCAAGTCTAGCCCCTCTTCCTGCTTACGTCAAGCCAAGCCCCAAGCAATGCCTGGTCTGGTCTAACCTAGAGCCTACACACCCCATTTCTGAGGCTGTACCCCTTTCCACCCCAGGATAAGGCTCCAGTTCGGGCAACATGCTGGGAAATGTATACAGATATATGTGTGGCCACCCAAAGCCCTCAACCACCATCCCTATGACTCCCCTCACCGCCATCATGGTGGTGGGCAACCTGCTCTTTCTGGTTTTGGGGAACACCTAAATTTCACAGATTCACTCCTTCGACAGTGAGCAGCATGTCCAAACCTGAGAGTCAAGATCAACTCAAATGTGAAATCTTACAAGGGAGAAGTGTCACCTAGGCCATCTTCCATCCAGGGAGAAAATCCCCTGAACATCCCTAAGAGGGGTTTGTCCCCCTTTGGCTTAGATGTCTTAGTAACAGGGAGCCCCGCCTCCCGCAGCCTGCGTCTCTCCGCTGGAAGCAAGAGGTGTGGAATTCTGGCTCAAACCAAGCAAAATTCTCCGTGGACTTTGTCTCAGTGCTCCCAGTTTTGAATTCTTGGGCTTCACAGAGAGATCTCAGCACTCTTTTCTATATGACAGCTCTTTCCATAGTCTTATCTGGAAGTGTTAGCCTTTCAAAGGGGTGGGGAACAGAGGCAGGTTCTCAAACCCTGCCACAGACTGGTCTGAATGAATGAAACATTACACTCAGAGAAGCTCCTTCTAGCCCTGCACGCTAACTCCTTTCTGAGATGGCACCCCCGGTCTCAGCCTGCTTAAAATCAAAAAACCCCCTATCCCTTGAGCCAAGGGACCATGGAGATAGGGGGAGGAGCAGGCACAGAGGGGCCCGGCAGCCACCCCCAACCCTGATAGGAGATGAAGCCCCCAGAGGCTGACAAGGGGTCTTTGGGAAAAGACCAGACTCCCAACCCCACGTGGGATGTGCCCCTGCCTCTGATGGGTGGAGTGCGGGCACAGATGCTCGCGGGATGCCGACTGCGATTGCACTCGGAAAAAATGAAGTGGTTAACCAGAGGGAAAGGATTCTGAGACCTGCCAGGATGGTGGGTTTTTTGTTTTTTTTTTTTTAGATTACGCCTAAGGTTTGTAGTTTGGACAGGCAAAGTAAACAATGACGATGACAGCAGCAACACAACAGAAACAAAGAACAGTTTAGTTGTTATTTAAAAAAAAAAAAAAAAAAAAAAGCCTTTTGTTATAAAAGACAGCTCCCCACTGCCTCCCCGACCATGATGGTGTGAAGAAAACCCACTTCAGCAGAAGTGACACAGCACGTGCAGGGGTCCGGGGGGTGGGGGTGGGGGTCGGGAAGGGCAACTGCTCGCATCTCTTTTCTCCCCTCTTCAGGTTTTGGAACGGGTAGAGAAAGGGATGGGAGGGATTGGAACCAGCACAAAGCAACTGTATTTAGACCATGGCAAACTGAGCTGCTACTTACTTCTCTCTCCCTCCCTCCTGCCCACCTGGGCCTGGCCTGGAGCGAAAGGAGCAGGGGACCGAGGGGGCCCAGCACGTACCTGAAAGAAACCCGGCGGGATGGGACCTCCTGGCATCCCATCGTTGGGGGGAATGTTGCCAAGCACAGGGCTCGGGGCGGCTGCTGCACTCTGTGGAGACAAGGAAGCGAGAGAGTGAGAGGTGGGATCCACCCTGAGAGACCCGGAGCTCCAAACCCCTCCCCACTCCCTGCCCCCCGTTCTCCCAGTCTGTGGATCTGCCCACATCCTTCGAAGACCCTCCTCGAACATCACCCTCCCAGGTGTATCTCTCACTGGGCAACTGATGAACTCTTCGAGCCTGTTTTCTCATCTCTAAAATGGGAGAACATCGTCTACCGCTTTGCACATGCACCACAGAGCACAGTGCACAGCAGCTGTTGCCAGTGTATGGACACCCTGCCTTATACACTCAGCTGCTTTATGGGGTTCCTGCAGGGCAGTGGGGGGAAGGAGGCTTTATAAATGTTCGCATCCCCTCCAAGAGGCTGCATGCTGTATGGAGCACATGTCAATCACTACCCACAGCTTAATGAATGAACAGGGAGCCCCGTTAGGAAATGTCCCTGGAGAGCCTGAGGAGGGCAGGGGTCTTTTGGGCCCATCAGGGTCTCGGGGGGCCACAAGAGATGAGGTGGGCCGTGCAGCACGGGGAGTGGAGGCACTTTTCTTCTTAAATGCTGCTATTCCAGCGTTTACCTAGTACATCTGCCTCAGCAAATGCCTCCCGGGGGTGAACAGACGTCGTTCTCCCCAGCCTGGCTTCCTTCCAGGCAATCTGTGTCCCACCTGCCATGTGGTCAGCATGTCTGAACCTGGGCCTGCACGCACATAGGGAGGGTGAGGCTGATTGGGCAAGTCACACACACACGCCCCCACCCCATTGCCACCCTGCACACACCCCTCCCCCTGACTCCTCCTGCAGGACCCCCTTACTCCCACTTCCATGTCACCAACCTCATACATACCCCCCCACCGAGAATCTGAGACTCAACCACCAATCTCCTCCCAGGGGTCTGACCTGTTCTCTGGGACAAGAGTGAGCCCCCCCCCCGGGGGTTTTGGGACAAAAGTGAGCCCCCTGGGGTCAGGAAACTGAAGGAGGCCGCTTTTTCTCTTACAAATGCAGCAGAATTCACTTCTTCCCTTTCCTCAGTCAGGAAAGAGTAACCAGAAGTCCTAACTTCCAACTGTGACTGAAGGAAATGAGGTAATGTGTGAATCCCATTGGCCGTGGCAAGATGAACAGATACCCCCCGTCGACCCCTGCATCTGGGCTCCAGGGCCATTACCCGTACCAGCAACAGAGGGCCGTGGGCAAGCCAAGTGGCCTTCCAGCTTGTTTCCTGTACAAACTGGGGGTCGCCGTTGTCCTGCCTGCTCGTCGGGGTTGTGGAGGATTATGGGACAGAATGGCCTATATTTGTGCACCAGGAAAACTCCGTAATCTGAAAGCAAGGAGGGCTCACTATAGGCAGGCACTGGGCGTCTTAGCAGACCCAGCTAAAGAGACTGGAGTGGAGATGGGCCAGCCAAGCCAGCCCAACCTTTAAATGCTTCTGCCTACCGACAGGCAACTCTCTCACCAACCATCCTGTCACGTGTGACCAGCATCCCCAAACACCACGAATGAGGTCTTTCCACATTCTCAGGTGAGAGACCCACTCAGGAGGATGAGGGGCCAGCCTGCTTCTGTCTAGGGCCCCCCCACCCCGCTCACCCCACTACTATCTGGGCAAGGGCCACCTGGGGGGACTATGCCAGGCTATCCATTAGCTGCACTGTTTTGTCTCTGTTTGGTGGGTCTGTGGAAATGCAACTTCTCAGGATTTACAGCCAACAATCATTCCCTGGAAGCAGGGGCAGGAAAGTTTTAAAGAAAAATCATAGGGAGGTAAACAAGCACCCACATTTTCCTCAAGTTTTGACAGAGACCGGTTTTCCATTTAACTCTTTAATCCTTCAGGAAGTTATTTTGGTACAGAATATAGATTTTACTTCTCAGGCAGTGGCCTCAGTACGATTTTGCCCCACTCATTTGAAATCCAGAGGCAAAATCCTGACAAAGGCTTGGGCCTCTTTCTGTGCTTTTAAATCCCGTCCTACGTCTCTACCGTTCCATTGTCATGATCGGGGTTTCACCGTGGACATGAAATTCTCCTCCAACTCTTCAGTGGAAGTTTTCTGGCTCATTCTCACCTACCTATCCCTCCAAACATCAGAACATTCATAGAAATCACCCTCCTACCGAAAGAAAAAAGTTCATATACATGCACACACACAGAAACACACACACACACACACACACACACACACACACACACACCCAATGCATGTATGCATATACGTGAATACAGATCTAGAGGAGAAATGCCATCTTTCTTCAAACTGAGGTGCCTTCCCAGGACACGGTCTTTCTCCAATGACTCACACCTTTGTGCAAGTCCCGAAGTTAAGCAGGTACGGGGGCATCGACAGTAATTACCAGGAAGGTAGGAGTAGGCAACATGGGGAAAAGCAAAACCTTGTCTTGCTAAAACTGACTAAATGTTTTATTCAACAAATGTGGCACCAACTTGTCTGGAGGATGAGGACAGGAAAGATGGAGCTCCTGACGGGGGAGGCCCCGGGTGGCATGCCTGGCAGGAGCCACTGGGCCTGATGCTAGAAACAGGCTGGGTACTCCCTGCCACCCGCCTGCCCTCTCTCTCCCTGAACCCCCCAGGCGGCCTCTTAGGTGGACACGAGCACCCCGCCTGACAGAGACAAAAACGTCTTCGTGAGGAGAGTGGGCTCAACACAGCCCTCTCCCGTTTGTCCTCCTTGTCCAGATCTACTCCTCTCCAGCCTTCAACCCAGATCCATGCTCTGTTTTTACAGAAAGATCTGGAAAGTCTCACCAACTTGATTCTTTAAATTAGCATTTATCATTTCGTATACACTTCCTTTTTATAGAACGCAGCAAAGGAAAAAGAAAATTAGCGACCGTGTTTTCTTAAAGAATGTCAAGAGCACTTCCCTTCTCATTACACGGCCGAAGAAAACATGAGTTTTTAACGAATCTAGTATTATACAGAGGTAACATTATTTAACCAAGTATGGTGTTTGCTACTCTGACAGTTACCAAATGGTACCTCTCTTGTATTTGGACCTATTTTTTGGGTCACTACCTTTTGAAATGGTCTCTGCTGGCTACTTCAAGATCTACTTTTATGGAAAGATGTTCATGTTCCTTGTTATCGGTATATTTGACTTTTTCCTTAGTGATATATCAGAGCTCTTTATATTTTAAGGATATCACATAAGTGTATCTTAGAATTTAAAAAAAAGAAAAAGAAAAGAAAAAAAAAAAAACAAAACCCAAACTTTTAAATGAAGATTTGAACCCGGGAGCATGATTTACAAGTCTCCCTCCCTTTGAGAGTTCCTTTTCCTACAAAATTAGATGTAAGTTCATGGTTCTAGAACTGTGGGTGGGTGAGTGCAGGGTCCATGGTCCTTTGAATGCAGGGCTAGGGTAACCGTGGATGGTGCAATTCTCTGACATCTGTGGGGAGGACAGATTTCTGCTAGCCTCCAATGAAAGGAAAGCCATATTAGCAGTGATTAAGGTAGCAGGAAGCTGAGGAGACAACTTTTATCATTCAAAGCCTCATCCAGCAGCAAACATAAGCAAAATAATTAACTTGAATTATGACAGATACTGCTATTCTTTGATTATGAAGAAAATATGTGCTCATAATGGAAAACTTTCAAAGGGGCAGAAAAGTATAAAGAAGCAAATGAAAAGTAGCAACAGATTTACAAGACAACAAAAGGGTTAAGTACTACCTGTGGTTCACAGAACCCAGTCCCCCAGACCCCCTCCTCCCACCCCCACACATGAGAGCAGGGGCTGTTATTTATACCCATCTCTGAGATGGGAGGGCATACAGCAGGTGTTCAATAAATGATTACGACTTTTATTATTCAAAGACCTGCTCAAACCCGGCCATCTAGAGCCAGGCCTTTCCGGATTGCTAGAAATCGGCCTCTCCCTGCGGTTTCTAGCTTTGAGTTAGAGCTCCATTAAGGCACTCAGCAAAGCGTCTCATGTGAGTTTTCTCTAAAAACACAAAACCCAGACCAAAAGCCCCTGACGTTCACCACGGCCTACAGCTGTCGGGGCTGTGGGGGGTCCAGGGATGGAACCTCCCACTAGGGCAGGGAAGTAAAGAGCGCTGGATCCTGAAGCCAGAGACCTCCCTATGGGCTCAGGTCCTTGCTGGAAGCCTCAGTTTCCCCATGCATCCAATGGCAGGGTTAGACGGGAAAGAACAGCTAGTGCATGAACAGGAGGACAGTCCTCTTTCTGGAAGACTCCAAATTTTAACTCTTTTCTGCTCACTAAAGAACACATAAGAGATCGAAGATTAAAAACCACCCAGATACCTCTTTGTTATCAGAGCCTGCGGGTAATAGCCTTGACATCTGAGCTCGCCAGGCCCAGGCCCTCCTCACCCACATTTATCTAAATACGCATATGTACATGGACTAAAAAGAGCAGAATCAAATCAGGCATGCAGTTTGGTAACTCATGCATTAAAAAATAAATAAATAAGTAACTTAAAATTCTTTTCTAAATAGAAAACAGGCCTTGCACTGGGTGGCAGGGCCCACTGCAGCCAGCTGCCGCCTCTAAGACTCGGGGGTCAGAGTCAACATGCCAAGCTCAAGGTACCTACAGACAACTGCCTGAAGCTCCTCGAGGTCCCCTGCAAAGTATGGTATTTTTGCTCATGGCCTGGGAGCGTTCCAAGGAGAACTGATCCCACAACCCTCTCCCTCAAGAGTAGGCCTTCTTTATGATCCCACGGTGGTTACAAAGCCAGCCGGGCCCGAGGCTCACCGCAGAGCCTCAGCCTGCCCTGCACTCCAACCCCAGCTGGCTGGTCTCCCACATGCCCTCCAACGAAAGGCTGTCCGCGCTAGCACATCTGCTTTTCAGCAGTGACCCCCCTCCCTTGGCTAGTGCCGAGCATCCCAATGCATCCTCCACTAACCCACCCAACACCAGTAGAGGACAAATGCATGGGGCAAGTCCCAGACATGGTGCCGGGCCCTTTCTTC